CATGGAGTTGTATGACCATTTATAAATTTGCCATTTTGTAGTATTTTGTTTTTACATATTATTTGCCATTTTGTATTATTTTGTATGTATGTACTGTTTTATGTTGTCACAATGCCCATATGGCCTGACGTATTCAAATAAACCTTGAAACCTTGAAACCTTGATAGTCAGTTAACTCCCTTTGATAATCGAATGATTTGATTTTATTCATAACTGAAGCTTTGGATGTTGAGAGGTCCCGGGTTCGAATCCAGGTCCAGATTTGAAAATATTTTAGAGTCTTTTTTGTTCAGTTATAAAATCAATTTTTACTAAGATGTGCAACGAAAAGGTACTCGATTGTGTTAAAAAGATGAAAATAAAGCTTGTACATATATACTAATGCCAGTTTGAAACTCTGGCTTAGAAACATATAATAATGTGTATCATACTATTATAATTAGCCGTAAAAACAATTATATATATTTTTTACAACTTATCTATATAGTTTTTGAAGATGTGTTTGCAGAATGACGTATGATTCCATGATGTACTGATATTTCGTAGGTAAAATTTAGTAAACCTTGTCGTTGATTATGCATTTTTAACACTTTCAGAAACAGTAAACATGTCTGAAATGACCAATTTCTCTTTCTTTAAATTTTTGTTATCCCCGCCGATGGAATCGGGAGGGGGATATAGTTTTGGCGTTGTCCGTCCGTCCTTCCGTCCGTCCGTCCATCCGTCCGTCCGAATTTCGTTTCCGGAGTAGTTCTCTGCAACTAATGGCTGGAATTCAACGAAACTTTATGGGAATGTTGATCAGCATGTGAAGTTGTGCACCTGGGTATTTTCGTCTGGATATTTTTAGTATTTTTAGAGTTATTGCCCTTGACTCAGTAAAATTTTGTCCGAATTTCGTTTCCGGAGTAGTTCTCTGCAACTAATGGCTGGAATTCAACGAAACTTTATGGGAATGTTGATCAACGTGTGAAGTTGTGCACCTGGGTTTTTTCGTCTGGATATTTTTAGTTTTTTTAGAGTTATTGCCCTTGACTTAGTAAAATTTTGTAATTTTCAACTTGTGTCGCATGTAACTCGAAAAGTATTTGACCTAGAGTCATGATACTTTACAAGAATGTTGATCAGCATGTGTAGTTGTGCACCTGGGTATTTTCGTCTGGATTTATTTAGTATTTTTAGAGTTATTGCCCTTGACTTAGAAAATGTTTGCAATTTTCAACATGTGTCGCATGTAACTCAAAAAGGATTTGACATAGGGTCATTAAACCTTATTGGAAAGTTGCTCAGCATATTTAGTTTGTTCCTGGGGTTTCGCTTTTGGATTTATCCAGTATTTGTAGAGTTATTGCCCTTGACTTAGTAAAAACTGTTTCATTATGTTGTTATTTGATCCTTGAGTGCTTGAGTTAGAATCGACCAACTTTACAGGAATAATGATCAACATCACTAAATTACAGGAATAATGATTCACCTCACTGTGATGCTATGAACCTGGGACTTTGCATGTGGATTTTTTTCAGTTTTGTTAGAGTTATTGCCCTTGAATTACAGTAGTATAAATTTGTAATTTTCAACTTGGGGTTTGCTTGGGGATTTATTCAGTATTTGTAAAGTTCTTGCCCTTTACTTAGTAAAAAGATTTTTAGTTTTCAAAAAATATTTGACCTAGAGTCATAAGATTGCAATTACAGACAGAACAGTGGCGCGGTGGGGGCACCCGTGTCCTATGGACAGATTTCTAGTTTTTATTAAAGAAGAATTAAAATGATTTGTTACAATAACATTTACAAATATTTGAAAATTGTGAGATCCCTTCTTGATGCCTTGAAAATGGCAATGAAGTCTGGAGATTAAGATGTTTTTACATCTATGTGAGCTATTGTGATCCCCCACCGTCCGTCGTCGTGCGTCGTCAGCAATTTATTTAAACAACATCTCCTCAGAAACAAATGACTGCACAGCAACCAAACTTTACAGGAATGATCCTAGGGTGGTCCCCTGCCAAAGTTGATCAAATGGTTCCGGTCTGTTGCATAAGTAGGTCACCGGGCCAGAAAAGGAGTTTCAAAAATGCAAAATTAAAAAATCTTGTCTGAAAGTACAAGGCCTAGAGCTTTGATATTTGGTATATGATATAACCTATAGGTCCCCTACCAAAATTGTTCAAATTTTAGCCCTGGGGTCAAAATTGGCCCCACTCTAGGGGTTCATAGATTTTCCTTATATGTATATAGTGAAAACTTAAAAATTCTTCTTGTTTGAAGGTACAAGGCTTCAAGTTCAAATATTACAGTTTATGCCATGATTAATATATAAATAAAGCCTTATGTCTTCAGTTGTTGTGTTAATAATAACCAGTACTCGGCGGGGGATATAAATTCAACGAATTTGCTTGTTCACATTGTTTCTTAAAAAGTTGCCCGTTACTTAACATACGTAGCACGGTTAATTCATGTATTTGAATGCTTTCAGTACTTAAATATATAAACTCATAACCTGCTTAAACTGAAAGTGATATACCTTAAGGAAAGAAATGCTTTAATTATTTTTTTTATATTAATGCAAAGGTTGCGCGTTAAACAGTCCCCCTGCCTTTTTTTACAGAATCATGCATGGCTCGTCAGATCCATGTGTAAGGGTATCTAGAAAAACTTAAATCAAATACATCTTCAAAAACTAAATAATATATATAATTGTTTTTAATGCTAGTTTGATACATATTATTATGTTTCTAAGCCCGAGTTTCAAACTGGCATTAGTATATTCTATGTACAAGCTTTATGTTTCATATTTTTAACACAATCGAGTACCTTTTCTTTCATTAAAAATAAAGACACTAAAATATTTGATATATATAGTTGCCATATAAAACTGTATCGAACAAGTTCACGAATTTGTTAAAAAGTAGGCCTCTGTCAAGCCTTTCTTGGACGAGTTTAATACAATTTTGCAACACAATAACATGAAATGAAACCAAACTTGAAATTCTTTTTTATCACATGACTATAAAATTTACTTGTTTTGACAGGTGTTATGTCACACCTGTGTAATTGAAAAATTAACTAATAGTTTTACTACATATACATGGAAAACAAGCGATTTTATGCGATATGTTTATTTAAAAATATTCTAATCACAAAATATAAATTTAGCAATATATCACATATATAGATTCAAATGGACGGATTGTACAACCTGCTAAAAACATCAAATTTACTAGAATTAAACATGAAATACACATCTTAAATAGAATAAAATTTACATACATGAAACATAAAATTTAGAGTAAACGCGCGTTTACTTGGACTGATAAAATTCTACATTTGGGTAAACATATACTTGAACCAATAAAATTCTACATTATGTAAACGTACCCTCATGTAGAATTTTATCAGTTCAAGTAAATGCAATACATATATTGATTTGGAAAAAATATTTTCAAAATTCTGAAAAAGAAAAAATCATACCTTACTACTGTTGATAAAGAATATTTTAAGATTTGTAATTTACCTTCCAAGCAATAGCTTTATATAACACAGCTTAAACTTTTTATAATATAACTTAGACTTTATTAACCAATTGCTTGCCGTAAAATAATTGTACCCATGTGACCAGTGCAGACCAAGAAAAGCTGACTTTTCTTCTGTGTTGTTCTGCATTGTTAATCAGTCGGTATTTATTTTGAAATTTAATAAAAAATGTCCAGATTGAATAATGTACAAGTCAATTTAAGATATTTAGCAATGTAAGAGTTAAACTGCCAATGAAAGCACTACAAATTCACCTCTATCAAAACACCTTTACATTTATCAATACAAGAAATTCAAACATCTCAAGGCACATTATGCCTCAGACAAGAATATTTTTTTCCTTCTAAAGGAAGGGCATACATCGGTTTTATAATATTTAAATCATTATTTAATGTAATGTGAAAATTTGAAACACTATAATAGGTTTCCCAAATGTTTAAAGAAGGCATATTTAACTTTTCAAATATGAAATGTTATTTAATAGTAATAATGCCTGTTAAACAATGCCTGTTTATCTATGACATCTTGTGCATTTAATCTTTAGTTTAAATTTAAAGTTACTGATTTTCTGAAGTATAGCAAACTCCACGAGAAATATGATAAAATAGGTTTTACCCTTTCTAGCTAAAGCCAGGGTCTTTCAAACATAAACTTCTAAAATTCTATTTGAATGACCCTGTTGATATCTTACATCTTAACACATTTTAACTTTATACTATGAAATATGAGTTGAATAATACTCAATAACCTTTCGCATAATTTGCAAACATTATATTGACCTTTTTGAGCGAAGTTAGTAGAAAAATATACATGTATTAAATTCTTTCAAAATACAGTAAAAACTCGCTTTACGACCACCCCGTTTTCGAGACCAACCCGCTAATACGAACGATTTTTCAAAGACCCGATTTTTTTATTCTTTATTTTAATGGTCGCTAACCCCGATTTTGAGACCACCCCGTTATTCCGTAATACGACCAGTAAATTCAGTCCCATTTCGTAAATTCTGTACATTTGGAAACCCATAAATACGACCGCGGGCACTTTCTCACCTTGATATTGACATGCATGTATATTGCTGAAATCTTTTTGACACGTGATGTAAACAACAGTTGTCCTAGTTTTACGACATTTAACGACATCCAATTTACGGCAGAGGTCAAGGTTACTTTGTATCAAACCCGGAAATGATCAATAATATTGTCGATAATTTTTTAATTTCACACCTTTTATGTCATAACTGGAGGATTAAAACAACAAAATATTGAAAAGAAAACTTTCAATAAGTTTTTAGAGGTGTTGCTGCTGTCATAATCTCTTTCGTTCCATAATTTTAAACAAACACAAACATGATACGATTAGGTTTTTGAAGTTGTAATCGGCGATGAAAACTGTGAAAATAATAGGATAAAGGTTAATTGGTCGATGTGCTTTGTAGTAAAATGTTGATTTAATTGAGTAAGTCGTGTCATTTTTAACAAGAATGTAAAAATATATTTGTGTTTAAAGACATTCATAATACATTTTGTACCTCTAAAGAAGTTTACAATTTTTATATAGTTAAGTAAAAGAAAATAAATGAAAATAAAAAAAAATAATAGTGTATGCTTAATATCTTTTCATTTGAAATAGGTTAGCCCAGAATTAAACATGTGTACAGTACATGGTATCCCTTAATATATTGCCTGGTTTTCTGTTTGACCAAACTCATTAATGAGACCAACCCGCTATTAAGACCAGATTTGTAAAGTCCCTTCATTGGTCTCATTAGCGAGTAATAGTAAAAATAAGGAATTGAGGGTTTGCTTGAATAATGTAGTGAGGGCGCCGGTTGAGCATACCGCCTCCCCTCTAAATCCGCCCGGCTATTTTATATACCTATTCTATTTATAGTCAAATTGGGTTTCTTGTTTAAGGTCACATGACGCGTACATTGCAGTGCATTTTAAAGCGAAAGTTCACACTAAGAAAGAACAATAAATTACTTTGCAACACTTACATTTTATTTCTACAATTGTAAAAATATGCTGAAAATTGGTTTATGGATTAACACTATTTTGAACACATCGTTAAAGGACTGATCGACAGACATTTTCCAATAAAGTAATAATGATAAAAGGAAATTAAAGTTAGAAAAGGTAAAACCTATTTTATCATCTTTCTCATGGGAATTGCTAGATGTATTAATTTTTTTTTTTTTTTTTTTAAATGTATGTTTGTTACTTTGCTAAATTCATCAAATTATTATACACTATAAAACGTGTTCGTTGAAGTATCTGTAGCTACCTTATCTTAAGTCAGTTTATTATATATTTTTTTCAGATTTGTTTACTGTTACAAGTTGTAAACTGGTGTTAAACATTTTGGTATTGATTTATCATATGTAAGTATTATTTTACTATAATTAAATATGTTTGCTATTGTTTTCCACTAAACTATACTACACTCTAAATCTCAGTGTTTTGATTCCAAACACATGTGAAAACACCTATCTGTAACAGTTTTAAAACATGTTGCGGTGTTTTCACAAAACACTGATGTTTCACACTAAAACACGGGTGTTTACCAAGAAAACGTGTTTAGGTGTTTTGTCTGAAAACACCTAACACGTGTTTTGGGACTGTAACAGATTTAAAACACGTTTACACGTTTTAATAGTTTCCATGTTTTATTTCAAAACACGATCAACCAAAAAATGTGAACAATGACACATAAACATATTATACACATTTTAATAACATTTTGAAATTTAGGTTAAATACTAATTGTTCTTCATTACTGCACATAAATGTTAAATAGATCAAGACACCCTACCATTATCATAATAGTATTTTTGGTATACTAAAATTAATATTGCATGCCTGACAGAGTGACAGTAAAGTTAACAACTTTTGGAAAAACGCTGTCAACTGAGGTAGCATTTTCTACATGTGGCAATTTTACTGTCACCTTGTCAGCCATGTTACAATCCAATGCAATATACCCGAAATTCTGGTGTTACCAATCACAAAATTAAAAAGAGCATTTTCATTTTCAAACTTAAAACAATTAAAAACAAGGCAGTCTGAAGGACATCTATATCCCCTTCGCAGTGGACAGGAATCTGTACTTCTTGATCTTTAACAAACCATGTCTTTTAGAGAAAAACCTGGCTGTTGTGCCATGGTCGTGATTATTTATGCTAAAATATTTAAAATCTTCCATGTCAAAAAGTTATAAACAAGAATATTTGACCTCTACCTGTGACCTTTGGGGCAGTGACCTGATTGTTGCGCTCTGCACATCCTATTATAATGGTGATCATTTGTGCCAAGTTATTTTAAAAACTTTTCAGCAGATTAAGTTATTTAGGGGACACAAAAAGTGGACCATTAACATTTGACTTTTAAGTGTGACCTTGACCTTTGTTAAAAACTTTTCATCAGTTGAAGTTATGGAGCGGACACAAAAGGTAGACTTTTTAACCTATGACCTTAAGTTGTGACCTTAGGGGTAGCGACCCAATTATTGCGCTCTGCACATCGTCTCATACTGACCCTTTGTGCCAGGTTATTTCAAAAAAATTTCACAGTTTAAAAAAGTTATGGAGTGGACATGGAAGACAGACTGAGGCCATTCCTGTAATCCCCTCCCCTCTATGCAGAAGGGGATTAAAAATGAATGTATAAAATAAATACATAAAACAGATTACAGTTATATTTAGGCAAACAATTAAGTAAATAAATAGATAGACAATTAAACAACAAAAGCAAATTGATATATGGATATCAGTAGAATTTCAGGTAAAATGAAAACATATATAAAATGGATTTAAATTTTTACACAGTAAAGCCTACCTCCCTGTAAAATGTAAAAAACCCGGTTTTTGGCACATATATGTATCATATTTGGGTTGGAAAAAAACAAACAGTATTTTCAGACAGTGTCAAAAATCAGTCATTCAATGTTGACTGTCCGGTGGGGGGGGGAGTCAAAAGTCTGTGCACTAGTGCTCTATTTTTCATCAGTAACAGTATATATCCTGATGGTTCATAAATATCTTTTGTTGTGGTGCGCTTAAGGCTTAGACAAAAAAATGGTACACTTTAGCACTCTAAAATGTTACAATGCAACTTTATACAATATTTTGATAAATCATTTCTTTGACTCCGAAAACACCAAAAATTTAGATGCACAACAAAGGTGCCTGATCAGTGAAAACTAGTGATCTCTGTAAATAATTCTGCTTACCACTTGAAATCAGTAAATGAAAATTTAATAAATCTGATATGATAATGAAGTGAGCATGTGTTAAAGTTAGACAGTAATACATCAACAAAATACAAACTTATTTAAGACATCAATGCAATATATTAAACTTACTACATAGCATGTACAAAATAAGAGCATATTAACATTTGCAAACAACAAATAGCACTAATACTTCTTAACTGTAATAAACAATTTATAATATATGGCATTTTAATGCTTCATTGACAAAATGTCACAGTCTGCAATAACATACTGATGTCATAAATAATAAAATTAGTGTTTAAACACTGCATTATTAAGTCAATCTTTTCTGCTAGTGAATAATAATTTGATAAATCACTGGATTTAAAAGTTCCTAAAAAGAAGCATAGTCTTAGCTGTTTTGAAAAATATTGACACTTGACATTTGCTATTTGAAATAGAGCCAAAATATACAGCTTCATGTTCAGACATCAAGAGGATTTCAATGTCTGATTAAGGAAGCCTGGAAGGGGAGGGATTGCACCATATATGCAGCAAAAATAAAGGCACTGATCAGCTGATGGTTACCACACAGCTATTCTGTACCTTTGTTTTTGTAAGTGCAAAAAAAAGCAGGTTTTTTCATGGTAAAATGTAAGCTGTTAAGAAGTCAATAATATGTCCATGACACAGAAGGTTGAATTTAATTTAAAATGTTGGTTCTATTTGTTCATTAGTTTTTCCAATTGTTCCACAAAGTGTAAATACCCAGCCGACTTGTGACTAAGAAAGGCTTGTTTAAATACTGTTTGTTGCATGAATCCAAGGAGTTGTGAAAAGCAGTGGGATTTTCTAGATCCATTATATAATACCAGCTTATCAATAAGAATAGCCCTTCCATGAGGCTATCTGTCTCAAGTGGTATCTTGCACTGGTCTCCAACAATATACTGTTTGTCCAGTTCTATGTTGTTAAAAATAAAAACAAGGCTTCACTTGGAGGAGTATTAGGCTGTGATGACAGGACCTTTAACAGATTAGCTTCTTCAATATCCTGCAAAATGAACATGGAACAAAACAATGAATGAGTACCATCCTTCATAACAGGATCAGGGAAATCTTCTACCTTAAGCATTTCCAACCAGTACATAATAAAGTGTTAGTTAATGTCTGCTTCTGGAGCAGTAGGTCAGAAATTCGATCTTCTGCCATGCCATGCTGAGCAGGGCCAACATTCGTCTATTTTATATAGTGATAAGACAGGCAAAAAATGAGATACCATGTTTGACAAAGAGGCCTATCTATAGAGATACTTATCATATACTTAAATAAGTTTACAAGTCAATCCATTTAATATGCTATTTTGACAAAATTGTAAGTTGAAAAGGGGCATAACTCCAAAATATAGTTTTAAGAATAACTCCCCTTGTCTGAACAGTGTGTCTTGTAATGTAAAGCAAATATAAAATGAATTTATCAAAGTCTTGTGCTGATACCTTTGATAGTTTTGACATTAATTCATTTAATAAATTTCAGAATTTTGTCCCTTGTCAGTTACAAATGTGTCTTGTCATGATTAGCGGCTGCAAGTATTCAAGTTAAAATTAAATTCAGTGGTATTATACAAACTGACAAAAAAAATTCCGGTAAATTTACTATACCTTATGTAGAACTACAATTTATCTAGTCTTGCACCCTTTTCCATGTTTGAATCCTGTATTACTTTCTATGGCTCTTATAACGTCCAAATCATCTTTGCACTGCAACAGGAAATCAGTAATTCTAAGTAAACAGAAGCGCACACAATCAGATCCTAAACACAGCTTTCAATATGACAAAATGAACACAATTTTTAACAATTTTAACCATATTTGCATTAAAAGTGACAAAAGCACTGTAAAAACAAACATCAGCCACAAAACAAGATTATGCCATGTTGGATTTCCTGCAATATATCTCAGGATAAAGTCGCAATTTTTTTAAGTCCAGTCAGACAATGTATTTCAAAGCACATTAAAATTAAAAATTACATATTTTGTATTAAAAATCAGATATTTTATATCTAAAAAAAACAACAACAACAAATAATCATTGTCAGAACTATTTGATTAATGTACAGGTGCAGAAGCATAATCAACTTCTGACTGGGTCTCCTAGGTTCAACACAACCTTGTTATAACATGGTAGTTTGAATCCTTTATATAGTCCATGTTAGTTAACCACATTATATCCAAACAAAAAAGTATTTATTATATATTTAAAAAAAATATGGAATTTTTCTTTCTATTCTATACCTTTTGTGAATACAATTTTTACCCTCTTTTAAACATTATTATATCTTAAGCCGCATTATAACAAGGCTGTGCTGTATGCATAGTAAGATTGCAATGATATCTTTTTCCTTTTTCCATAAGGTTGCCTGCCCTAACAGTAATCTTAACTCATACCTCTTTTCCTCCAGGTTTAAGTGTAGCTACTGCTTCAAACAATATCTCTAGATTGTCAACAAACGGTTGGATGTGGCCTACTGCAAGAATTAATTTAATTTCCAACAACATCTGAAAAAAAAAGAAAAACAATTATTATAATTAGCTTATTTGATAATCATATGATAATTAAAAAAAGGAAATGTAGCAAAACAGCGTAGATCACAATATTGCATTTTCCAATGTTCAAATTTAAGTTCTGTTATCAGCTTAATTGTTCCGTTCTCAGAAATATTGTTGGAGTTTAACACCTGTTTCAATAGTATTTCAGTTATATTGCAGGCATTTTTGCCAAGAAATATTATACTATATATCAGATTTTAATAGTCAACTGATAAGACAGAAAATTCAAATCTACTATTTTTTCATGCAACTTACAAGATGGTGTTACAATTTCTGTCGCTATGGTAACAGTTGTGGACTCTGTCTCAGTCTTTGACATGTTGGCATCTTGGGTGTCTGCCCAAACATTACAACAGTGTCTTTTGGAATATCTGGTTCTCATAATTGTTGGTCTTCTAGAAGCATCAATACTTAGTTTTGAATATGTAAAGGATGGCTTTTTCTTCCATTTCTGTCACATCTTTTTCCAGCACAACAATCAAACTTCCTCCTTGCAACTGTTGCTTGTCACCAGCTAAAATATTGAATAAAACTTGAGTTAGTGTTTCTGAGAAATAGCCATCAATACCAACTAGATCGAAGTATCAAACTGTTTGAATTATTTATCAAACTACAGATCTTTTCTGTAAAACATAAGACAGTCATTCTAACATAACAATTATGTATTGTAGCTATCAAATATTATATAGATGAGATCTGTAGTTATATTCATGAATATGATTTCTGCCATCACAAATGGATCTCAACAGCATAATAGAACTCAAATTAAATTTTGACAACTGTTGAAGTGTTCCATTCTAAATAATATCATCAAGTAGGGTTTGTTTTACTGTTAACATGATTACTATATTTTGTGAAAAGTTTGTGTTTTGAGTCTACTTGTTTGAATTTTCTTTATACTGTGAAATCAGATATTTTTGCAAGGCTAAAATTTTGTGAATAATATGATTAACATTTAGGGTTCACCATGTTAAATGTTTGTGAGACAATAGTTATTGCAATTAGGTAATACTTACATGATGATAATTTATTGAATTTGCAAATGTAGTAAAAATTAAACACAGAAAGGTAGAATCACATTTCTTTTTTTAAAAAATCAATTCAAATGTAAATAAAGCTATGATACTGTGAAATGTCTATTTTTTTCTATTCATATATTAAACGGTTTTACTTGGCATCTGGATCACCAGACTTTCACAAAGTATTTTAAGCCAACAACTGTGGCTGTACAGTAGTCACACCTGTACAGATTTTCTTATGACAAGGCTTTATATTCTAAATAATTCTGAGATTCCTCTTTTGAGCACACAACCTAACACTGTGTTGTAATTGTGCTGTAGTGTGTAAAAATACTTACCTTTCTTCAGAAGGTCTTCAAGACTGCTTGCAAGGACAAATATTCTCTTCTGCCTTGTAGTGTAACACCTCCAAAATTTTGTACTCATTAGCCATACTAGTTGTTAAATATGTAATTATGAGAAGAAACTTGTAGCCTAACATGTAGATCTGACAGTACCCAAAATTACATTCTATTGAAGTACCTGTATTTATCCATAATAACTGTTCTTCCATTACAGATATGCAAGACAGGGGCAAAACAAACTTGAGATTTTGATATTTTTTAGCAACTGTCTTTGTATTTAAGCGTTTTACAAAGTAAGAGTCAATATGTTCATCACACTCTATAACCACAACTTGCACAAGAAAAGTAAAAACAAAAAAATTCTGGTAGAAATCTAGTCAATGACTAAACTTAACAACAACCCGGTATTTTTCCTTATATAACTGATACCGGAAAACGGCACCGTTCCCAATAGAAAATAGACAGCAAATTTTCCAATTCATGACTGATAAATTCCAAATTTAACACTGAAAATTACCTCTAAAAACAGTAATGCATGTCTCGGAGCCTTCCGTATTGATAAGTGATATACGATAAAAACCAAGTAAAACCACATGAGTGATATTCGTACCCAGTTCATTTCGTACTTTATGTTTAAGGTTTTAAACATATCAGGGCCTTTTTACCTTCTATAACAGGGGCCGGTATAGGGCTGCTTCCCCAAAGAAAATTTCTTTAAAATCATGCAGTTTTCCCCAAAAATTGAATTTACATTAAGTTTTTTCTTCCCCTTTTGCAAATATACCATGTAATTTTTCCCCAAAATTAAGGGCTGGGCTGCTTCCCCAAACTGTGAAAAAAAAGCCCTGCATATTTATTTTAGCTCGATTGCGAAACAAGTTCTTGCAACTTATATCAATCACTTTCGAGTCCGCTTCCTGGAACCAACCAGTACTGGTGTCATATGAAGAAACATGGTCGTGACCCGTGTAGGGCTCGAACCCATGATCTCTGGGTTGAGAGGCAGACACCTTAACCAATAGGCCACCGCTCCCCTTTATGTTTCACACCTACTAAACATTATTTATGTACAATTGTTATGATTATCAATTTTTTTTTCAACCTCAAGCAGCAAAAATAAGCTTTAAAGTTAATAATACATGATTTTAAAGTGTATAATTATGCAAAATTTTCATCACCTTCCTGGATAAAAGAAATTCCCAATAAATATTTTGCATCTAAAATAAAATTCCCAATTTAAGTCAAACCGATGGATTTTTTCCCAATCTGTCCGGTACCGTTAATTGTACCAGCACCATTCTCAAAGTAGGGGAAAAACACTTTGACTTTCTGATATTAATTGAATGTTTTATATTTGAATATTATATATAATATAAGCGTTTCTTTACTTGACAACGTGTTCTTGCTAATATCCAAATCAAAACACGTTGAATGTAACATGATAATGGTTTCTGTTTTCTAGCTATGTTGTTTAAAAGTTTTATTCAGTATGTTTTTCTTTGCTGTCCTAAATAAAGTTTAAGTGTAGTTAAAAATTATTTTTAAAGTATTCCCTATATAAAATTAATGTTAACTTAGCCTCAATAATCAAATCGAAATATATGGAATTAAGAATCAAATCCAGAGAAAGCTGAATAGTTGCACCCTTACAAAGGAACATTTATTATAAATGTGTGATAATAATATAGAACTATATATGTTTATTTGTCTTTTCATTCTAAAGTTTATAAAATATTGAAAATAAAGAAATTTAGGGGGCTGGGGGTTTTAACCGTTTATAGGAAATTTCAATCAAAAGGTTTATACAGTTACTGTTAAATGACAATTATTAATACCTGCCCCACTAACAAACTGAAAGTTCTATGCTCCTGCGTTTATGAATAAATTATGCAAATGAGCCAGGTTGAGCCGCCATGTTGGAGTTTCGTTAAGCGTGTTGGAAATTGCTATCTGTTCGTTTTGAAAGCTCGTCCTAACTTACAATTTCATTGAATGTAGGAAAACTTGGTTTTGTGTGATTGCATATTGAATAATAGGTATTACAAAATAAATATAATGAAAATCGATCAATAAATAATTGTATACGAGCGTTATAAAGTCAATTTAATTCGTCAGAATAATAAGGTTCAGTTGCAGGGTATCGGCTTTTTTCCCCGTTTTTGAAATTTATTTGAACACGGAGACAATTTTTCACAAACAGTAGGTTTATGAATATACTTTACGTTGCAACAGAGTTTACCGTGTGTCCATTCCTTATTTAAATTGTCTGAGAAGTTAAATCTGTTTGTTTACATGTAAATGTGTACCGTCATTTTGACCGACTGGAATAAAAACTACCATGACGGTAATAATACCCGATATGTAATGAAAATTACGCCGTGTAGTGCAAAGTTTTGGACATTGCTATTAAAATTAACACTTACGTTGACTCAAACTGTTCCTTGTCAGCAAAATTGAAACCGAAAGTAGAGGTTGTTCTAGAATTTAATCGAATAAAATGGGTGGGAGTTAACAATCGCGCATGCCCTGTGCGAACGTATTGTTTACATCCGGTCGTAGCATAGGGTAAGAGTGCAGACTTTGTTAGTGTGCCCATCGTGCTTCCATTACAGGGATATAAAATAACAGGGATCCAGTCGCAATGGTCCTAACTTTTGGGTAGGGCCCAAGCTTTCTGGAAGAAATGCCTAAATAACTAATGTAAAATAGTCTGGGCCCCTAGATAAAAATTGTTAATTTATATACCTGCATTATCAGACAGGTATAAACATAGTCAATCCCATAGCTGATCATTGGACATCATGCGCCATTTCCTACATCACTAAATGTAAATAAGATTTTACTTCAATTTGTTGTTAGTGTGTGTGGACAGAAATACTCCTGCCCTGGTGGACCAGTTGAAAGACAAATTTAAATTATTTTAATCCTTAACAAGGAAACAAACGATACAACTTAAAACTACCCCAAAGTGATTTGAATACAAATCCGTGAAAAAGAACACCAACAGTTTTAGAAATTTTTGCACAAACAGAAATAACTGACCAATCTAATCACGTAACGTAAACAGCATTCCCCACCCACCTGTTTCAATTCGTCTATCGAAGCGAAAATGGACTATATAGTACATAAAACCTAACCATTCACCTGTAAAAACGTTAAAAATATTAACAAATCTGTTCAAGCAACTGTTGTACATATCTGTTATGGAAGAAACAACAAAAATGAGGCAAACAATTTCTGGCGGTTTTTGTCGTCTGATCTACAATGTGCTACATCGCCAGACGCTTTACGGAGATATCAATCGAAGCGTACTCTTTTACACGCAAGCATCTGGCTGCTATGATTCGAATTTATTTATTATAAAATATTTTATGTAATTGAATTCATCATAATTTGTTTCTGGATCTAGATATTTTAATATGGGGATTGTACAAAAATAATTCTAATTATAAAAAAAAAATTAATCAATTCATGTTTTTTGTGCTAAGGGGAAGTAACCGCTGTCAGATTAAACCTTAGTGTTTTCGGCCGAAACACGTGTTTTCGACCGAAACACGTGTTTTCAGATTTCCGGATGACAAGTATATACGAATTTTCCGACACAAATGATGTTTTTGTCTCATTATTTTTTTACATGTGGCCTATTCACAACACTTGCGTGACTTCCCAACTCATTCAATAATGTAAAATTATTTAATTATATATTCTAGGTTGTCCTGTGAAAACACCACCGTTTTCTGGGCATCGAGCGGAAAACATGAATAAAACATATGTGTTTTCACTGAAACGTATACAAAACATAAGCATTTTATATGAAAACGTCAGTGTTTTTGTTTTAAACACTGGTAAAACACGTGTAGTGTTCCCAAAATTTACAGTGTATGAACTTATATATAAATCAATGTCTTTTCTATTTTATCTTACACGTAATTTATCTGGCTATTTTTAGAAATGTTTCTTTAGATACTGTATCGTGTGTATATTTAGCTGTAAAATTCCCATAGTTGTTTCTATTTATAATGAAAACGGTTTTCCGGTTTCTAATGGACAATTATTTTCGCTCCAGTAGGGAAAGGTTGCATCAGTATAACATAGCAAGCGTCAGTTAGGATGTAATTTTAATGAGAAAGGTAAAAAATCTATTCTTATATTACGCCTTGTGTGTAACCCTGTTAATCTCAATATATTATAACTGGCTTTTTATATGTCACCATTAAACGTATACAATACTTAAGTTAAAAAACCGGACACATATTGAAAGAGGTTAACATTATAGTTTTTATAGTAAATTTATATGGAGATTGCTCAAAATGTACTTGAATCCGATTGCGAATCGAGAAGTTAAGTCTAAAATAAATGTAAAATTAATTCAATTAAAACATATTGCTTTATTACTGATTACTTTATTCTTTGAAAAGTAAGGTTTTAATCGTGTAAAATCAAACCTTTAGCTCCCCCAGGGTCAACAATTCAAATTTCCATTTAATGCAATGAAACATTATTTTTAATAATGGGTAAAAAAAAAAAGACAATTATTCAGTTGATAAATAATGATGCTAATATAATAGAAATGTCAGAATATTTATCATATTTATGCTAAAAGTATCTTTTAATTTCATTTTTAATGAGGAAAAAGTAAAATCAGGGTTCTTGTCTTGTATTAAAAGAAATTGCTTGACATAATTTGTGTTCATTTGTTGTTTCATCAATGTATTGTCATCGTATGAAACAATGAAATAAGAAACTAAAAGGTACCCTCATTTGTATTTTACCAACCAAATTTGAAACACTATTCAATCTTTGTGTTGTTATAAAAATATTTAAATAAACACACACAAAAAACGTGTAGCAATAATAAACTATTTTGAACTATAAGCATTGATTTTAACTGATACTTTGCGTAAGACTATTCTTTTTATTATATTAAATTATTTTTGCACATCATTTTAATCAATATTTATCAATTTTTGTATAACGTTTCCTACTACTGAACTAAAATGATCAATACACAAAAAATGTACTGCTTTTTTCAATAAAAATAAAGAAACATAAAATAATGCTGTTTGTATATATTAATAATGGATTGTGCAATTAACAGATGGCAGACAAATACTATAGACTGGTTTGCTTTGTTTGGGTAGATATTTGCGCCGACGTATTAAGGAAATATTTTTATCAAAACTTGCAAGAACTGAGGGCTGGGAGCCACTTATATACATCAATTGATGCATACCTATCTCAAAAAATCGCCGGAATGTGATGCAATTATTCAATAACAAAAAGCCTCAGTATGTAATTGTATCCTGACACATACAGAGATTCAGTATGATTTATTGTATCCTGGTAACAGCACCGCTGATGAAACCAATGGGACGTTCAATACTGGTAACATTGATAACAGAACTTTTTGCCACTCGTCTGCAGCCAGTCGAAATATTCGCGTTGAAAACTGAAATTCGAGGGATTCGAAATGAGTTGCAACATAACCCAAATACTGGCAATATTTCAGAGGGATGACTTCGATGATTATTGGGGGCGATTGGACTCTTCTGTTAGGCTTATAGCAACGAATGCGCTTGATACGAATGATCAAGCATCCTTACTAGAGAAAATAAATCAGGTAAAATGTAATCATCTACCAAATCTCAGTGATATTGTCAACGGTTATGGCATGAAGAAACAATTAAGCAGATGTTAAACATTTTGCGAAGTGCATGCAAATACATCCATTCTCAGACAAGTGACGGTCCAAAAACCAGGACCTTCAGGTAAGTTTCAGTAATTTTACATCAACTTAAGGTTTATATTGCGTTTTTTTATTGTTATTAGATCGCCTCATAGTATTAATCTTAATAATAACAAATCAACACTAATATTTTATATGATAAGCTAAGCAAAATTATCAGAATATTTCGAAGAGATTTGTATCTATGGGTTAAGAAACTTTAGACGCAATTTTCAAAATGAAATATATTTGAAATGATTGGTTAATTATATATGACATCGTTCAAAAACTTTATAATTAATTGTTGCTTCGATAGTTGAATTGTTTATTGGATGTGAAATTTATTGTACTTCAGGGGACAAAAATAAAAGAATAAAAGTTGCTGATGATATTCTGGCACGGCTTCAAGGTAGGTTGGTAATTAAAAAAATAACATTCGAAAAGTGTCGTCTACATTCATTTCTAACTTAGACAATTTTTTTCCATTTTAATCTTATAATCTTATGATCTAATCTATCACAACAGACATATTAATTACATTATCTCTATGATCTAATAAAAGTTAATTTATAAGTAAGTAAGTTTTTGTTTTCATGAGGGAAATTTGTGCTTATAACTATTTACTGTTTGTAAGCGGGGTTTGAGTCAACGATGAAAGAACTATCAGGCGATTTTAACCCACCAAGTGAAGTGACAGACATTCGAGCTAAACTAAGAGATGGCCATCACGTGGTTGTAACCGGATGCAACAATAGCCGTTATTTTGAGACCGCTCTTGCAGCAATAAAGGGGATGGATTATAATTACAAACGATGTGTAGAAATGCACAAGTCGTCTGATTGGCGTCACATTGATCCAGAAGATGTAGACTTGGTTTTATGTAGAGATCCATTTGGTAGAATTTCCTATGATGAAAGCAAAGCTAAAGCCATGGATGATATATTTAAAAGCATGATGCACTCAACAAAGAGAGATAGTAGCGATAAAGCCTTGGACATTGTGATAGTAAAAATCTTAAGAAAAAATGGAAGGTTCTGGGGAACCTGCATGAACTCTTAGAACGAAGTGGTGTAAAGGTGGGTTTATATTGATACAATTTTCAACAACAACCGGCTGACCTTACAATAGGTATTTTATTAATCGTTAACTTTGCGAGAAACTGTTATCATGTTAAAAGAACTAAATCAGTCTAGGTTAATGTTAATGTAGATAATGTATTGAATGAAATAATCTCTTAATTTAGAATGCTTACGTTAATTTCTCTCTCCACACTCAATTTATTTTAGTTCATGTTGTCCTTTGGTTATGGGCTATTGAACTGGTTCTACTGTATTGTAGTGTATTTTGAGGCTGACTATTTTCGAAAAAAAAAAATAGCCGTATAGTTACAGTCATGGCGGTGCTGCCCATTCCTCGATCAATTACTATGTTCAGTTCTGGGTAATAATGATACCTGGCCACAAAAACCCCTGGGGCAATACCACATACAAGATGACCAAACTAAATTTTGACCTTCATTCATCAATAACACTGACCATCAAGTTCAAATGTCTAAATGTGTCGCGATTTTTGCTGAATTTTGGAATTTGCGGCTACAACTTTGTTTGATTTTTGAAATTGATAGTCTTCGAAACTTGAACCAACAATCTTTTAGATTGAATTGACCTCAAAGTTTTCATATATTGTATTATCATATTTATTTTTTAATGTACGGACTCTTTGACCAAAAGGACATGTTGAATAATGACCTTTTAAATAACTTGACGGTCAAAAGATAAAAAAAGGAAAAGTTAAATTTATTTTTAAAAATTTGTTTACACCGTTTTATTTGTTTGCTTTTAGAAAATATATAAAAGTCGGTGGTGTTTCTTGTTTTAATTTAATTACAGGTGTTATTCTGTTTAGAATTTATTCATTTAAAAAAATTTGTTTTTCCTAAACCCCCTTTTTGGGTACCCTTGGGATGTTTTTATTTAAAAGATGAAACCAAATTTGTAAAAGAATAGGGGGGCATATTTGTTAAGGGGTAAAGTCATGGGGCAAAACCGCAACCCTTTCGTGCCCGTAAACCCGAAAAAATTTGGGGGGGTAAAATTTTTTTATTTTTTATGTTTATTTTAATTTAAATTAAAAAAGTTTTTTTTGTTTTTTTGGGTTTTTTTTTTTAAAAAAATTTGACTTTTTTTAATTTTTTAAACTTTAAAGGAAAGTTTCCTGAAAGGGTTAATTGAACCCCTTTTGGGCAAAGATGATGAAAATATATAAAAAGCAAAGAAAAATTTTTAAGTAAAAAAGGCTTTGCCCAACGGGGGGAAAAAAATGTTTGGGAAAATTCTATACTGTTTTATTTGGGGGTCTGCCTATGAGGAAAAGCAATGTTTTTCTTTTGAAAAAACCCCCACATATTGACAATTGACTTCCCCAAAATCTCCCTTGTGAAACATTTACGAGTTGCTGGGAAAAATTTGTTTTTGAGGAAAGAAAATTTTACGAATGGACAATATGGGTTTTACCAAACCTTTTACAATCCGTTATAGCGGGGCAGATGACGGGAAAAAAAACGTGTGAAAAAGGGTAAACTAGAAAAAATTTTAACGAAATTTTGGGCGGGGGGGGCCAAATTTTGAACCCCGTGGGGGGAGTAAATTTTCAAAAAACGCCGGGTTAAAATTGAACTAAACCGAACTAAATTTAATATTTCGTAGTTTTTTACAATCATACCCTCGTTTAAAATTTTTTTTAAAAAAAGTTTTTAAAAAAAGTATGAAATTTTCCCATCAAAAAATTTATTATTTTAATAAAAGGAAACCCGGGTTTTCTTTAAGGGTTTAAAACGAAATTTGGGGTTTCTACCCCAAGGTCAATGTCTTAGGTAAAGATCAAGTGTTAAAAGCATAAAAAATTCGTTATCGCTCCATAACTTTTACATCCTATCATTTTAAAAATAACTCGGCACAGTGATCACCATTATGAGACGATGTGCAAAGCGAAAGAAATTGGTTGCTACCCCGAGGGCAAGGTCATGCTTTAAGGTCAAATGTTAAGAAATATACATTTTAGCTGCTTTAATAAATTTTAAAACCTCTGATTTTTTATAACCTAGCACAAGTGAGCACCATTATAAGTCGATTTGCAGAGTGCAATAATTTGGTTGCCAACCCCAAGGTCAAAGTCATACTTAAAGGTCAAGTGTTAAGTTTACGCTCCATAACATTTAAACCGCTGCAATGCTTTTAACCTAATTTGACAGTAATGATTACCATAAGGACACATGTGCAGAGCACAACAATCAAGTCATTACCCTTAAGATCAAGGTCACACTAAACTACCCAATGTTGGAAACATCCATTTTCCATGTCGGCTCTATATCTTATTGAATATTCAAAGGTTTTAAAATTACTTTGCACAAATGATCCCCACCATGACACAATCTGCAGAGCGCAACATCTAGGTTGCTGGCCTGAAGGTCAAGGTCACACTTAAAAGTCAATGATGAAGTCCACATTATCCTGTCTGCTCCTAAACTTTTAAACTACTAAAAAGTTTTTCGAAAATTACTTTGCACAAATGGTCACCATAATGACATGATGTGTGGAACGCAATATTTAGATTGCTACCCCAAAGGTCAAGGTCACATATAGATGCCAAATGTTGGAAGACAACAATTTTGTGTCCTCTACATAACTTTTTACTTATTGATTTTTTAAAGAAATAATATTGGCACAAATGATCACCATCATCACCTTCAGAGGGAACAACCAGATGGATTCTCCCAAAGTCAAGGTTATAACATAAGCAGCAGTCTGTTTATTCTCACCTGAATGAAGAAAAAAAAAAGAAAGAAACAAAAAAACAAAACAAAACACGAAATACATTAGAGTCACAATCAAAGTATAATAAATTGAAACAGATCACAAAAGCCGATGGGACATCAATTTTGTCTAATAAAAGCATGATACAACCAAATATGTAGGAAAATTATTCTAAAAGTTCCCATTGTCACCAAGACCCTAACATAAAAATTAAAATAAAATAAAAGGATTTACTAAGGTATCCTTCTGAGTATTGAAGTTGGTCAATACTTAAAACTGACTTTTTTTTATGAGCAAATGTACTCATGATATGCATGGCACAAAATCAAGGTTATGGTTTGTTAAAGGTCAAGTAGTACACATTCATCTTCCCTGCAGAAGGGGATTTAGTTGTCCTTCAGGCTGCCTTGGTTTTTACAATCTTCGCTGGAATATACAATGACATACGATGCTATGCCTTTTCCTTTTTCTTCCATAAACAATGGCATACAATGTCATAACAATGTCATATATTTCTCTTCTTCTTTTAAACTTAGGACTAGAATATGGACATGTGTCTGGACAGTTCATCAATACAGATCATTCTATAGGCACCATATCAAATACCACACTGTTTGAGAACTACACAACACCATTATCAGTGGTACCGTCACAAAGGCCAATCTTGCTGTCAAGTCATGACAGGATTTCTACAGGAAATACTTCACTTCTAGGCAGGGCACAAATGGAAGGTTTGTCTAACATAAATTATCATAAATATGAATACATTTTCTATCCCATAGTACTTATTATAATTAGCTACTATTATTCCTCACGGAAGGCAGTGGGGTATAGCTTTTGCGTTGTCCTTCGGGCTGTTTATCTTTCCATCTGGCAGTCTGTTTCTCTAACAGTCCTTCAACAATACAGCTACTTATAAACATTATCTACATATCTCCATAAATAGTAATATTTTATTGAGGAGAAATGCAGTGTAAAGCATCTGTTTCGTTTCATTTCATAGTAACTAAAGTATTACCTTTTATTTTTTTAAACCGTAACTTTAACACTTTATGTGTTTAGTTATTAACGTTAAATATAATACGTTCATGAGTGATTATGGAATGGTTTATTAATCAAAAATTGTAGCTCTGCATCCCATAACGTTTGCGCCATTGTCCTCAGTGTCCTAAATCTTGTTGTCTTTCAAATTATTTCCGTTATCAATAAGAACAGCATAGTGTACAGATGACATTGTAAGATACAGATTTTGAGATTTTTTTATCTGGCTGTAGTTCTGAGTTATGTAATCAAATATAATCAAACTCTGATTATGCATTTTAGCTACGGCCCTTTGTAGGTTAGCAAAAGAAATACTTATGTGAAAGATTTTAACATACATGTATCTTGGAATATGTTTGTATGTCTTTAAGGAAAAGTTTCAAATCAAAATTCATCGAAGAACGCACTAACCTTTATAAATTAGATCTACTGCAATTAAGTACTTAGAGATAGCCCTATACTAGATACATATTGACTTGCTTAGTTATAGTGATTCATTTGTTGTTATTGTTTTTTATCCAAATTGAAATAAATACATATTGATAATCCACATAGTTAATAGTTTTATTTTTTTCATCTTTGTCTACTTTGATAATTTGAGCTAAATTTCAGCTGAATCTTTAAATTGATACTCTTATATATAGTAATATTAGTAATATACTTATAATAAATGACCAAAATAACATGACAATACGTCGTACAAATATTTAATTGTCATAGTTGCTCAAAAGGTTGACCTATTATTACAGCACAATTATGTTAGCCTTAAACATGTATCATAATTATATTCGCAAGCGCATAACATACACACGTTTCAATCAAGCGCTTTTTTATCAAACGACCGAAGATATCAATTCAACAAATTCACTTGTTGATTCAAACCATTACTTTTATAAAGGAAGGCATTGGATCGCCCTTATCTAATATCAATAAACAATATATGAACATTTCATTTCAGGAATACAAAATCCAATGCAGCTGAAAAGAGGATTTCCTGGATTGGAAAGGTAAAAAACAATCTAAGTCAATACCTTTTAGCTGTTTGATACAAAAGTACATATCTCCACATATTATATATGTTATACATGAACAGGTCGTGGTCGGTGTTGTCACCGTGGTCGTGGTCTTTAAACATGCACAGCATAAAGAAATAATGATTACATGTCATATGACGTCAATTTTGACGAATTAACTAAATGACGCCGGGAAAATAACTACTACGTTCAATTTACTCAGAATATATTCTCTTTTATATTGGCATGTTAGATTGGAAATTGATAGTGATTTTTCTTACATATAACAATTAATGCATGGTGTATTGTTCAAATGCTTTGTAATTAATCACTCAGGCCTCCAGGTCTACGTAATTATATTCCGATGCATTTGAACTCGAACCGCGCATTATTCTACAACAATGCACTCGGATCTATTTCCTAAGTGAAAACGGGGCCTGAAATTTAAAGCCTCCTGGCATCAAATATAAATTAGCTGAAAATTTATGGAAATTAATATTATATTGTGAATATTCCGGTTGTTCCAATTGAACATTCAAACAGGTGACTTTGACTAGAGCTACATGAGCACTATGCAGTTACACATGAATTTAACTGATTTAAACTTATTTTAGACTAAGATTGAATTAAACGATTTATCTTATTTATTTATTTTTATCCTTTCTACTTTTTCTGATAAAGTCGTCAGTTTTAATTATTATAATGTATTATTACTCAGTGCAGTTGTATCTATAAATTATTTGCTCTTGATATCACTATCATCTTTTATAAATCTACAATAATTAATAAAAAACATTTGTTTCATGTTTAAATTAAAAAAAAATAGCCGGTCAATATTTGAATATTTTATCCTTCACATTTGATCACATTTTTTTCAATTAACAGAAAAAGTTATATCGTTTCTATGACCATAATCTAGAGTACTATTTCAGGGTAATACAGACTGAGACAGATGATTTGAGTGTAAAGAGATCGAGGTCGAGATTGAGGTTAATGTCGTCTGGTTTATGGTCAGTCGAAGAGAAACGTGAGATTAACATCAAGATCAATGATGATAGAAAGGAGCGTTTCATTACAGGAAGTTGTAAGCTACCTTCAGGAGAAACTCTGCTTGCAGATAACAATAATAAAAAATTGAAGAAACTTGATAACATGTATAATATAAAGTGTGTATGTGATCTTCCTGATAAACCGTGTGATATTTGCTATGTCGGTGATAATGTAGCTGTTGTATCAATGTTGTGGAAACTTCAGTTTGTTGATACTGAACATAGTATGACACTGATTAGATCCATTGATACAATTCATACTTGTCGTGGTCTGGCTTGTCATGGTGATCAGATATATGCTAGAGACTGGTATGGTTCTGTTTATAGCTATAGTACAGACGGTATAAAGCAGCAGATGATTTATTCATTTAAAAGTTGGAATTACTTTGACAAAGCACGTATAACTGTGAGTAATGATGGAAGTAAGTTATACCTTCCATGTAAAAATGAGCTTGTTACCATTGACAACAATGGAAAACATTTGTTTACATTAAACAATGAAGACATAGATAGGTCATGTGGAGTTTGTGTAGATGATCAAGGCTATGTTTATGTAATAGGAAAGAATGGGAATATTATACAAATAAGTGAAGATGGTAGAAATATACTTGAGGTCATAACAAACCTATCTGACATGACATGTGGACGTCCTAGTACATTAACATTTGATAGGAGAAATAAAGTTCTGATAGCAGCAGGGATATCAGACAAAATAAGTGTCGTAAAACTGAGGAAACAATAAGAAACTCAAAAAGATGAATAAATAGGATACCGTGATCATATAATATACAATTAAATAAAGTTAAGATATCCTAATATATAAAACACTTTATTTTTACCGTCATAATGTATAGTTAGACTTATTCCTCTCCTCACTAGATGGTGGAACAAACTTGTTTTTTTTTCTTCAATGTATAGATAATGCAAGATATATAAGTATTTATAAACTTTGATAATTTGAAGTGCAACATGATAATTTTATTATTTTATAAGTCATCTCCTATTTTTCTTATCTAGAAAGGAGTCAATTAGTCGATACACATATCTACAACACCGTATTTTATTCAGTCACTGTTAAAGGTTGTTTCATGTGTGATCTACCAATTGATATTTCAATCATAATAAATTATTTTATAGAATAATTAAAGTGTTTAAAAAGCTTGTAAAGGTTTCAACAATTATATCAATTAACTATAGATAATGTAATATGGACCAATGTAACTTTTTTCCGTACCATCTGAATGTGTCCTTGAAGAGAATAGTTTTTTTAATCTTTTAATTGGGGACCACGAGTATGCTTCTTTAATACATTTATGTTAGGGACTTCTCAAAATAATAAAATAATTGATTGAAATAGTATAAATTAGTTGTTGTTGTTGTTGTTGTTGTTGTTGTTGTTGTTGTTGTTGTTGTTAAGTCCAACATCTTTATATAGCGACACTTAAATAGATCTGCTGAGTCCTGAAAATATACTCGTCCACCAATTTTGTGACTGTTTGACGATCAATCGATTCTAATAGAATCTGACCACTATAGTATAGCAGTTGCAACAGTAACTAATGGATTAAATTCCAAAATTTGAGTACAACCTTTAATTAATTTGCAGTTTAAAACAATAATATATATTATTGTATGTTTTATTATCAGTCAAGTTTACAATTAAATAATGAAAGAACATATAGCTAAAATATTATCCATAGGTTTATTATTCCGGCGAAGTAAATTTAACCATCCTTACAACTGGTGGTTAACTAAATTTATTTATAGATTCACGCATGTAATGTTTTATAGATAACTCTAGAGGGCATGCAATACAAGACTATACAAGTTGTGTCCCTTGCATAACCAACACTGCGTTAATTTCATTTTCTGAGTTCAAAATATTCCAAATGAAATCTACTGTTTATTGTAATCGAAGTTAAAATACTTTTGATATACATGTACATGTATTTACAACAAATACGGTGCGTTCAGAGTATTCCTTATGGTACCAATAATGAAATACCATACCATTGTAGGCTTACCATAGGTAGGTTTACTTATCATAGTCATACCATGGTACCGATGTTTACGGACAAAATTTGTCATTGTTATATAAATTTGCAGTCCAGGGTAAATCCATTGTCAACAAAAAATTTGCCAAAGAAAGACGGAGTAAATATATTGTTATCCATTTGTAGACTGACTTACCATCGGCATATCGATGGTACTGTTGTGCAGCCGAAAAATGATAAAATACAGTGATACAAAAGACAGTGATATGGTAGTGTCTTACTATGACGTCATTGAAAATCACGATCCTGATCTGATTTTCATGTTTAATATGAAACATAATTGATAATATTGGGCTGCAATAATATTCTAAAGTTTGTAAATGTCAAATATTATTTGCAAAATAAACAAATTCATTTCGAATACAATTAATTAATAACAATAAAAATTACATTCACAACTGGACCAAACTAATGACCAAATTAATGATCAAGATAAGACGTCTTGGGTGCCATTGGTACTTTCACCTTTGGTACCAATATATTTTATAAACAAAAAGTATAACAACAATCTGATAAAAATTGAGTGATTCCTCAGAAGCAGTGAAACAATAATATTATATAAACGTTTTGGACGCGAGTCTGTATATATTAGTATACTTGAAAGTCATGGGATTTCCATATCAAAATACAAAAATTGAGCTGCCAACAGTATAGAGCCTGACCAGACAACAAGGACGTGCAGCCTGGCCTGGTTTTATGCTGGTGGCAAAGCCTGGTCATTTATGGTACCAACAGGTTTAAGGTTTACTTTATTTTAATGTGTTACTTATGAAATAGAAAGATTTAATCTTAGGGAAGCGGGAAATTGTGTGCTTCTTGAAGAGGAAAATAGTTTGTTTTTCTTGTATCAATTGAAAACATCATTTGTAAATTATTCGTTACACATTATTTATTACTGATGTTTATAAATCAGATAATCAATGATATAGTTTTATTAGCATGTATTGAATAATAATTTCCATTAATCTATTAAAAATGTACTTTATTTTAAAGCTCCCGTTCTAAATATTTAGGTTCATACGCCTCGAATGTGTACATGTAACATTACATTTTATTACATGCTTTTCGGTGGTTTATAGAAATATATCAGTGACATAAAACTGGTAATTTCACTGTTTGAAACAGTGAAATTACCACTTTGATAATTTCACTGTTTTGAATTTAAGCCCCTTACGTTGTTTCAGTGAAATACCAGCGTGCACAGTACTGGGTACCAACTTAATGACGTGACGTCGTAAATGACGTCACGTTGTGTTATTATTTGGCGCGCTTTTCATTCAGTATTAGGTTAAATGTCTCTTAAAACGTTCCTTTGCATGTAATAAAAAGAAAATTTGTTTAGTTTAGTGTAAGATTGAAATATATTTCACCTTGTGAACACCAAAAGTTCATATTTCACTCGTGGCTGCGCCACTCGTGAAATAAACCTTTTGGTGCTCACTCGGTGAAATATATTCCGATCTTACACTGAACTAAACAAATATCCTCTATGTATATTATATAAAACCATGGCAAAATATTATAAACAAGTTCATATACTCACGTGGACATGGAGTGATCATTTTCTGGCAGTTAATGATATTGTGAATTTTAAATAATATAAATCAAGACCAAAAAAAACTGACCTTCTTATATCTGCTTCTATATAACATGAAAATCGATGGCATAAAGTGTGTACAGCAGCGACAACAACAGACATTTGAGCCGCGTCACGACCAAACCAACATAATGGGTTTGCGACCAGCATGGATCCAGACCAGCCTGCGCGTCGGAGCAGTCTGATCAGGATCCATGCTGTTCGCTTACAAGCCCAATAACAAGTAGAGAAACTGATAGCGAATAGCATGGATCCTGATCAGACTGCGCGGATGCTGGTCGCAAACCCACTATGTTGGTTTTGTCGTGACGCGGCTCATTTATAATTAGAAGGAATTTTTCAGAAGGTTAAAATCATCAAAGATCCTGCATGTTTTAATTAAGGTTGTTACCTCAATTAAGTTAAATTTTATATATGCATATAATTATGCTTCTAAAACAATTTTCAAACATCGAAAAATATGTTAAAGTACTGTAAATATTTGCCCACATTATATGTAATCATTAATATATGCTTTCATTTCTTCTTAGACTTAAAAGAAAATAAATATCTAACTACCTCCTTTAATTAACATGTAATGTAAATTTGGTAATATCTTTATAAATTATGCATTTTGGAACTTACAATATTGATAAATTTTCATTCTGAGCATTATATTTATGATATAAAACCTTAAGATAAATGAGTTACAGGATCTTTAATTTTTACAGAAAAAAACGGAGTATTCGTCCGGATAACGTTATCTGTCATTTATTCATATCATGAGCTGAATTTTAACCTCAGGCTTATGGAGGGCGTTCGTTGCCAAAATTCCAGACATGTAAAGTGTTCCTTTTTAAAATGACTTTTGAAAATGCGAACTTGTATGCCTACCATTTTTATTGAAAACCTCTTAATTCAATCTTTTATTTGAAGGTTACCGCCTTTATATAACAAGTTTACATATATATCGTAACAACTGACCTAACATCTAAATCGACAACAAATTTACAAGTTCGTATCTTCCATTGCATGCAATACATATGCATGTTTGCACACTTATAGATCTGAAATATACAAATGAAACGTAAAACTCGAATACGGAAAATAGAGTTTAAGAAAACGTGTTACCAGTTGTAGAACTACAAGAGTACGTTAACACAGTAACATGTTTAAAATGACAAAAGTAGATTCACAAAGTTAAACGATTTTAAGTCAAGCATAACGCCCCGCCCCTCTCGGAGTATTTACGAACTTCTATTGCGGACAGGTATAAAACGGCGCCTCTCCCATATTTTTAAATAAAACTGAAGGACAACATACGGCATTTTTCATAAAATATATATGTTACATTTGTTACAAAAGTTTTGTCAGTAGCAACATCACTTGAAAATTGCTGATTTTACCATTTATGATGAAGATAACTTATGCATTACCTTATTCTTAACATCGTGTTTTTATCAGTTACAAATTATTTATCATTTTAGTGATTAGCCTGTCCGTGCTCTGCCTAGTGCCCTGTCCTGTGTTTTGTTTTGGGTCCGCCTTGGCTTCTTGCCACTTGTTCTTGTTGCTGGGTCATGTGGGGCTGCGTTCATTGAGCGCCGCCTTACCTTGTTGATCTTGTTTATCATATATTCCTGAGAAACATCGGCGATTGGGAAATTTTTAGGGGAAACAATGACCAACTTCAAGGGAGTAATTTTATTAATAATGTAAAAAACCACCCAATATTCTTATTGGTATCATTGAAAAATGTATTGGCACAAATTTCATTTTCAACAAAAACTATGCAAGTATATTTTAAAGCGGCCACCGAGATTTCCTTTCCGAAATCAAAAAAATACTTATCCGTAGCACATATGTACAAATGTACAATCTTTAATAAGGTATTTTCAGTATGAATAAAAACTTTTTGCACTTGTTCATTATCCCTCATGTACAGACTCAATCAAACCGAGTCTGCAATTCTTATGTTCATTTGTTCACTTTGTTTCCAGATTTTTATACTTCACAACAGCAGGTTTCAAGTGCCGTGAGGCAGCTGTAAAAAGTTGCCCCGTACTTCACTTCAGTGTTGTTATATTTTTCTGGTCTTTCGGGATCATTGATGCCAGCGCTATTAAGTGTTGAGAATTGAGTACCGTTCAAGCCGGTGCTAGGGGCGTGAGGCATGTTGCACTTGTTCATTATCCCTCATGTGCAGACTCAATCAAACCGAATCTGCAATTCTTATGTAATTTTGTTGTGATTAATGCTTCCGAGGGATCACCTTGTTTCCAGATTTTTAATATACTTGTTCAAAACTTATGGTCTTAACTTCATTCAATATTTATTTTCCTTTTTGAATAAAGTATCTAAAGGAAGCGACGTTATTTTTTTCCGAATATATGAGTGTGGATTTAAGAGAAAAAAAAACAACGATAAGTTAGAAACAAAATTTTTAATACTTCTACGTAATTAATTTTCATTTTAAGGCATCACTAGAAAGTTCATTAAGGATTCTTAAGCACTATTAAGTGTTGAGAATTGAGTACCGCTCAAGCCGGTGCTAGGGGGCGTGAGGGATGTTGCACTTATTCATTATCTCTCATGTACAGACTCAATCAAACCGAGTCTGCAATTCTTATGTAATTTTGTTGTGATTAATGCTTCCGAGGGATCACTTTGTTTCCAGAATTTTTTACTTGAGTCTAAAATTATCAACGCCGCCTTTCCTTGATGATCTTGTTTATCATATTCTAAAATTATCAAAATTGACCAAGAAATAAAAAAAGTAAGTAGGGGGCGCCATGTTTCTCTTACTGAATTTCAGAGTGTGTTTTGTTTTTTTTACTTGGGGATCATATGCCGTTTTTCATGGTATGGCACTTACGTGTCACATTGAAAGTTCCATGATAATCACCATATTAACACATCTGCGGATGTTTCAAAATTCAAAATTGTACCAGTTCATGTTGAATTTTGCTTAAGCCGGTGCTAGGGGGCGTGGACGATAACTTGCTCTTTCCATTACCGTCCATGAGCAGGCTCAATCAAACCGGCCTGCAACATTCTCAATTTTGTCGTTTTGAGCGTTCTTTAGGGATTCTTATTTTCTCTTTTTTACAGAAAATAACATGATAAACTTTTTAACGAAAAGTTAATTCATTTTGATTTAATTCCTTTTTACTTTGAGGCATTATATAATTATATATCATAAATCGTATTAATCACACTTTTATTTCAATCCAAAATTATCAAAATATATTACGAAATAAAAAAAAAGGTTTGGAGGGAACGCCGTGTTTTTCTTACCAATTCGAGAGTGTTATTTTCAGACTAAAAAAAACAACAAAAAAATCAATACATCTATTTAATTCATTTTTATTTCCGAGACACTCATAGAAAGCTTATGGAGTAATCTTTCATTTGATACAAATTATATTGGACTTTTTATAGAAATAAAAAAAAGTTAGAATGGACGCCGTGTTTTCCTTCACTTTATTGAGAAATAGGAGAGAGGCGACGGGTATTATACCTGTCCGTACATTTCCGTGATAGAAGATCGTAAGTACTCAGAGAGGGGCGGGGCGTCATGCATGACTTAAAATCGTTTAACTTTGTGAATCTACTTTTGTCATTTTAAACATGTAACTGTGTAAATGTACTGTTGTAGTTCTACGACTGGAAACACGTTTTATTAAATTATATTTTCTGCATTCGAGTTTTACATTTCATTTGTGTTTTTCAGGTACATATAGATATATCTACAAGTGTGTAAACATGCTTATGTATTATATGCAATGGTAGATACGAACTTGTAAATGTGTGTTAGGTCAGTTGTTAAGATTTACATGTAAACTTGTTATTTAAAAGCGGGTGCCTTCAATTAAAAGATTGGATTAAGAGGCATATCATTTGCTGTGCGCGAATGCAATCAAAAATGCTAGACATACATGTTCGCATTTTCAAAAGTAGTTTTCAAAAGGAACACATTACATGTCTGGAATTTTGGCAACGATCGCCCTCCATACAGGCTCTGTAGTATTCGTGTTGTGTTTACTCATCCTTAATTAAAAAAGAACAACAACAAACAAACAGTCACAATGGAATCTCTACCTGAATTTGTCAAGGATAACGGACTATATTTAGCAACAGGTGCTATTGTCATCGGATCGTCATTGTTATTATATAAACGAATGAAACGTTCTCGAACAAGGTCAGTTCTACAGCTTATTATTGTATTGATCCAGATATCGGACATATAGAAAGGTATCGTAATAACGTCTAATAATTAATTATAAGTTTAAGTTAATGTGACGTCACCTTTAAAGCATATTAATATTTTTGATTTCATCAGCTAGGATATTCATCATATCGTGTTATTTATTGATAAATCTCCCCCTACTGTAGGCCTACACGGAACAAACACAGAATAATATCCAAGAAAAAAGCTTTATATGCCACATTTGACTTTAAACATTTAAAATATGACGTTGCTGTGTTAAATTATTACTCTTTAACAAAGAAACACATTGATATAGGAAACACTATTATGCAGGAAAGTGAGATCATTATCTCGTAATTTCGTAAACAACCTATACTCAACATCACCAATTCCGCGCCATCATTTATTTCACGGTAATGGCATATTTTCAGATGACCAGTGTTAGAATTGGTCAGAATTGACATATTTTATTCATACACCTGAACAACAAAGTTTTTGTGTAACATATTTTAAATCTCTAGATTTATACCGGAGGAAGGTAGTCTAGTACTGGTGTAACTCTCCAGGAACGATGGTTAGGAAACTACCCGCCTATATATGACTGAAATACTGTTGGGAAAAGGCGTACAATGAAACAAACAAACAAACATCTAGATTTATACGTTAAACAGAACAACGTTTTACAAATGTCTGCAAAAAACAACAATAGTCCGTTAAATTTGTGCATACGTCTGAAACATTCACCATTTTCTAGTTGTTTTTGTTTGTTGAAAAAAAAAGTTTTGAGTTAAAAAGTAAAATTACTTTTAATGTTTAAAATAGAGCAACATATATTCAGAAATTTTAACTGAAACATGAAAAAAACTATTGTTGGGTAACACCATTTACCGCAATTTAAATGATGAAATATTATTTTCAAAATGGCCGTCTAGCTAGACCATTAAAACTAATTTTGACTGAATATATTGTTGTTTTCTTGTGTTATCCAGCATAAAATCCCTATATGTTACTACATATGACAATTTTTAAACTTGCTGTTTTCTTTCTTGCTTCTTTGCGTTAAGTACCGCGAACTATATAAGAGCAGCACAGTTTCACACAAATTTACAAATTTGTTCCAATTAAACATGCATGTATATAGCAGGCAAGTAAGACATTAAGACTCCTTGACTTTTCGACCCCTTAACGATATTAAGATGACTTCTAGACCCCTCGACACTAAGACCCCTTTTTACTTGACTTTTCGACCCCTAGTGGGTAAGACATTTCGACCCCTATCACAAAATTGCTGTGTATCACAAACTCTTCGGGTAATAATTCAAAGCAAATATTTTAATTATTTCATAAAAGTTTCTGATAAAACTTCAGGTAAAGCAATAATTTAACATTGTTTTTTTTTTATTCGTTTAATATTATGTTACATAGAATTGTATGTGAATGTATGATGGCTACATAGCAGTGATACGTACTATATATTTTTTGTTATTATAAAAAGCTCAGATAAGGATTTTTTAAAATTAACAGTACTTCTTATTTTTGGCAATAATTCCTTAATTTTCGGAAGTTTTGCGTTACTTTTCTTAATTTATTACGATTTACTTATTGATTTCTAACGATAGAAAAGTTCTCGATACTTAATTAATTTCATACTTACTTCCTCAAATATATATTTTTATTTCATGTATAGCAACACGCTTACCTGTTTTTTAAATCATTAAAATATAGTAATTAAAGAACCAACAAGCCTAAGACTTCCTGATATTAATTAGTAGTTCAATTTACAGAAATTAACAAGTGCAATGAGAATAATGACAATATTTGCTTAGAAAAGGTGAATTACAAAACGACTGATCGATATTTATGTCATAAAAAATAACTTTTACAATTTCTATTGCAATTACTGTTATATATGATATTATGTGTACATATAAACATAATATATATGCTTTCTGTTTAAATGTAGTGCGTGTGTTTCTATTTCTTATATTAAATACTTGACTTGATGAATGATCGTGTATAACAAATAACGGCTTAATATGATTTCACTTATTATTCAGTATATCTATTAGATTATATATAATAATCAAACTTGTAAACAAATTTACCTTTTTTTCTATATCTACGTCTTTATGCACATTATTTTTTCGAAGTTAACGTCTTCAACTACGACAAGTTTTATAGAATAAGGGGTCGAAATTGCCAGTCAATTTAAGGGGTCTAAGTGTCTTAGGGGTAAGTGTCGCGGGTCGAGATGTCTTAAGGGTCAACGGGTAGAGGTGACAAGGGGTAGAGATGTCATAGACTCAGAGGCAAATTATCGACAAGCATGGTTCTGCACAATGTGGCATTTTATGAGAGAAATCGTTGTTTGGCAAGGGGAAACAACCTGTTTTTCGTCTCAGGCGTATCACTCTATCTACATGAAAAATCTGACATTTAACAAGACCAGTGCATACTTAACCTTGATCAATGTTATATTGTATTTGATGTATGTACAGCATAGTTCGTCAACATGTTTATTTCTTCTTATCTTCTAATCTTCATTTAGGTAGAGGAATTCTATACAAAATTTTACATTAAAAAAATAACAAAACCGTACATGCATATCTACTCAGGAATGTGAGAGTCCATCTGTCTGTCTGTCTGTCTGTCTGTCTGTCTGTCAGTCAGAATAATTAGTAATAACCGGTCACGTTTCGTTACATATTATCATATTATTACTTTACTCGTATTTGTTTTTTCTGGTATATAGAAAAAGGGCAGTCAATTTATTTTAAAATATAACGAGTCGTTTTCCATTTTAACATACTTTACCCAGGATTTTGGAACATGACCAATACCCATGGAATTGGGAAATTCAGCGATGTTTTGGTATAAATTGGGAAAAAATGCATGACTTAAATTTTGCACTGATTAATGAGTGCAAAGAATTACTGTCTGCCTCAAACATTAAAGCACTATAACAGTGAAGAATCCCTTATTTTCAAAGATTTAAGAATTTTGATTCAATATTTTTATTTTGTAACTTTCAATTGGGATTTATTCCCTGTTGATTGGGAAAATACTATACTATTTCAAATGGGAAATATGATTGAATATCGGCTATAAAATAAGTCAAAAAATCCCTTTCATCAACATATTATATACAAAAACCTTTTTGTTACAAGTCCACCTAGAAACTGTTTCTGGTATTTACTTTTATTTTTGTGTAATTAAGAGACAGTTGAAACAAATTTCTGCATTAACATGGTAGATAGGCTTAATCTATTCATCACTCGAATATGCTTAATATTACTTTGTTTCACAGAGTATGCGGTGTGGATTATCCGAAAGACAAGGTCATCCTTCATGTGTTTCCTCGGACCAAAACTATTCCGAATATGGGCCATTTTGTGATGAAGTTAGAAACGTATTTGCGGATACATAAAATACCGTTCCAGGTAAATGACAAACAATTACTTCATTTCGTTGATATATCCATTTGAGGTTAAAATTGTGGGTAATGGGGCACCGCAAAGGTCCTATGGCGTCTATCCAGGCGGATGCGTTCAAGTAATAGTGCCGTCACACCGGAGATGCGCTGCGGCGATTAAAAATGGATCCAGAGTGTGTTAAAGTCGCCATAAGCTTGGTATTACCGTGGTGGAAACGCCAGGCATCGTGCTCGCCAATGATCGCCGAGTCAAGGCGTTTGTTTTAGACGCCAGAAGTCGCGGCGGGCGCGCCCTGAGAACGCATTATGATCGCATAGGTCGCGATAAGAGCGCGACTGTTTTAGAATTTGATTTATTTGGGGTCTTTTTCTCGCGATTTGGTCACGTTTGCCGGCGAACTTGTACATTTTCTGTGGTCACCGTAAGGTCGTACATTGCCACAGTCCAGTGTGACAGCACTATAATGCAGAAATGTGAAATTAACAAAAAGTACCGCCGAATCTGTGCCAAAAGTCATGGCCAAAACGAGTAACAGGGTAAATAAACGGACCAAAATATTTTATCATAAATCAAATTAACAGAAATAAATAAACTCACACGCCTGCCATGATGCACCAGCATTAACAATTATTTCTAGGAATATGTTAACATTTTACAATTTGCAAAATTCCTGCGTTACTTCTGCACAATTTCTGCCTTATTTGAGGATTCCTGCGTTACAACCACGTTGGATATCTTAACCATGTTGGATATCTTAACCACGTTGGATCTCTTAACCACGTTGGATATCTTCACCACGTTGGATATCTTCACCACGTTGGATATCTTCACCACGTTGGATATCTTCACCACGTTGGATATCTTCACCACGTTGGATATCTTAACCACGTTGGATATCTTCACCATGTTGGATATCTTAACCACGTAGGATATCTTAACAACGTTGGATATCTTGCGTAATGTAGAATCTGGTATATAGTTATTTGAACTCACGTGATAATGAGCAACCATTAATTGTCTCTCATCTAGAAGATATCTGAATTACTATCACACTAAGAATGTTTATACATTCTATATATCAATGAATGAAAGTCATGAGAGGGAAATTATACATTAAAAATCGCACGAAAAATCGGCACGCCGCAGCCGGGACTCTTACCACGGGTCTCTGGATTGCTGGTCTTATAGACCTTTTTACAATACGATTTTCCATAGCAACGAATCTTGCATTTCGCGCATGCGCATTCTGCGTAGGGCAGAAAGCAATAACGATGTCTACAGTATATCATACTTAAAGGCTTTAATAGATACGATTTCATGTTATGTCACCCAAAAAATAATAATCTTGGGATGACTTAAGGCGGTAAGTACTGAAAATGTGAATTTATTTTTAACAGATCTACGAAAATGTGCGGGAGTAATAATTCAATGGTCAAAACGGGCACACACATGTCTTTGTTTAAGGTATCATTAGACGACTTTTCCATCAGTAATTTAAATTGAAACAGCAGGGTGTTAAAGATAAAATTTTATTTCCCCTGTATTACATAATATTACACAATTTGTATTGTATAACTGGATTGGTGAGGCGGCAAGTGTCAAACAGATTGGCTCGCGAACGTTTGTTCATTCAACCGGGACGTTTAAATATCATGATATAGTTCATCAGTTACGCTTATTAAAATAGTAATTTATGTAACTTTTAAATATACCGATCAATGTTCATGAATTTTGAGAAGAGAAAATTTGTGTGACGTGCATTATTAAAAATAATATGTATTACGAAGAAGCGGATAAAATGTGTGTTATATCTTTTTCAAACAACCCATCTTAACTTCTCAAGATTTTGAAGAAAAAAATTTAAATCTATGTATGTGACTTAATTTTTTCTGTTTGCATCACAGGCAAATCGGATAAAGGATATAATCAGGTATATTGAACACTAAAAATGCATTATCACCTGTTCTGATAATTTTTCTGAATGATAATTAATCCCCATTTCATGTTATATAATTTCTTTTGTTTTTAAATGAACTGTTTCAACAGCAAATAAGTAAGACTTTTCATTTGCTAATAAATATATTTCCACATCTTCTTTAACAAAATGATCTCAGTGTCAGTTCCGTGATCGTAAATTCTTAAACAAGTATCTTTTCCATGCCTTTTTATGGCATTCTTCGCCACAAAGCTATAATGTCATCTTTTCTATATTTGTTGAAAGCTATTTTATATAATTTTCTACCGTTTACCTTGAACTAACTCGGAATTGTCTATGAACTTCTACTATATTTCTATGTAGGGCGAAGAATTTTCTTGCCCTACGCAGATTGCGCATGCGCGAGAAAATTCTTATTCCGGTCGATTTTTCATAGCAACGGACCGCGTCGTAAAAAGGTCTATATGATCAGTAAAGTAATTGTGTACACCGGCTATAACTGTGTTGTATATACATTTGATGGAAAATCAACCCAAACAAACAAATGTAATTAACGTTTTAAGGTTTACGGACCCTGAAACCCACGTTTAGAAATGGTTACATACTTGATGATTTCTTGTTAAGCATCCATTAAGACACCCAAATATGAAATTTTATTAAAATTTACCGTTCAAAACATGAGATATGTACATTTGATGTCGGCTACCCCACTTTTCCGAGAAGAACCCCAAAGAGCAAATACCTAGATGATATAAATCGTGTGTAATTTTTCCAAATTGAGGAATATATTTGTGAAATGTACCTTGTTGTGTTCATATGACCTTAGTTTATATCATGCATTACTTACTGATAACAATTGTTCACAAAAAAAAGAAATAAAATGTATTATGTGCAAAATTTGACCCTGCGGACTCTGGCTTTTTTTCCATGTCATGTCCAAATACACAATGTTTTGGCCAAATTTTTAATGCTTTCAATATTGTTTCACAATATAAAACCCAAATACAAAGTTTCTATCAGATATAAAGGGGAAAATATTAAAAAGGAAAACCTTTTACCGTCTAGTTAGTTCAAACCACTACATTTTATGAGTTTGGTATCAAATGTCAAGGGAGACAATTTGAGGTCAAATTTCATTATTTATTCTTTCTTTGTTTCAAATTATTAAATAATGCTTCAGCTTCTGCTTAGAAACAAAACAAGACTTGCAATGCAATTAAAACACTTATATCAATAGAAAAGGTACCTTCTGTCAACAATAAAATCATGTGTTTTCTTCAAAATCTTGTATACATACATGTGGTCGAGAGCTAGAAAATCAAATAGTGACCAAGAACTATTTATCCACACCAAGCACTAAAATGTTCACAAAGATAATACTTACAAAGAAAAATATCCTACTATTTATCATATGTTATGTTTTTTGATGTGTGCTGCAGATACCAAAAAAGAAAAATGTATTAACAATGTAAAATTTTGGTTTTGATTCTGTGACTAAAGTTAAAAATGTAAGTAAGCCTTTCAATGAAAGCATGTCAATATGGCCTTGAGTGAAAATACTTGAAATATACTGCTTTCCTGCAATAGAAAATTGCTGAAACATATCTTCAGTGCAATATAACATAGTTTATTAGTTTATTTCAGTCTCTTTCATATGCATACTTATATACATAAAACATATTAAAAAATGATAAAAAATTACATATGACCATTCTACAATAGAATTATAAGAGACTATATCATATATATACTTATCATTATCCATTTACAATTGATATTTAGTTCCTATTGTTAACAGTAAAAATACATTATAAGACCATTTTACATCATAAAAGTTAGATTATCCCCACTGACCTTCAATAAAAAATAAATGAAGAAATGCTGTAAGATATTTTGATAATAAATCTCTAAGTGTTCTAAAAAGTGGCATCTCTAAGTGTTCTAAAAAGTGGCACTATTCCACAAATTTAATAAAACTATATCACCCATGGTCAAACCATGGATGATGGGTCAGTGGTGATATTCTATACATTAGTAGGTAAAACAACTTATCATGACAAATATCTGCATATGCAGTATCTACATCACTTAGCTCTTGTAAACTTTGTTCTAGTTTAAAAATACATTGGTGAATACTATTTATTACATCATCTGAACACATGAAATTTTCGGGAATACCCTTTAAATCAAACTTATCAAATGTAACATTGACATTATGACTTCTGTCGGGTTGTTCCGCAGGGTTTTCACATGAATTCCCTAACTGCACAGTCCATGATAATACAGAGTGATCCGGAATAGACACAGCAGACAAACCATTCACTGTACTTATCTCATCTATAAGCTGTGTAGACCTTTTGACTGTGAAGTTAGAAAAACTATGCAAATACTCGTGTTGAACTAAGCAATAGTCCACTACAGAACATCCCTTAGTGGATACAGAGGTAAAATCATTGTTATCACTATTTCTACCATTAAGAACACACATATTACTGTCAATATTACAGTGTTTCTGCCAGAGCGCGTTTTTGCGTTTTTGGCGCATTATTTTCGGCCATGACGCAATGAAATTTTGTTAGTGCGTATTTTGTGTAATGGATGATGGGTCAGTGGTGATATTCTATACATTAGTAGGTAAAACAACTTATCATGTTTAAAACAGATATGTTTCATTTGTATCATACAAATTACTATCATCACATTTGTACAATAAAATTTACTATCATGTACTATAAGCACCGATCATCTGTAAAAGATGTTAAAAGACTATACTAAAATTAATTTTAAAAAAAAGAAACTAAAACACAAGTCGTCTGAAAAACCTTACTTGTACAATATATTGTAGCGGAGTTGAAGAATATTGTAACAGGTTTTGGCTGTGACTTTAACAATATCAATGTTGGAGAGAATAAATACAAGTTTATCTTCATCAGAGAGGTCAACAAATTCTGGCCTTATGTTACGTGCTTTTTCTAACATATGTAACCTAATGTGCTCATATGCATTACAAGATAATAATACATGTTTTTCACATTCAACTGTAATTTTACATATTGGACATATCCTACTG